GTTGAGGAGTCACGAAAGGTAAGAACTTGCAGAGACAAAATGCAGTGTGCATGCTCTGGTGGGGCTGGGGGAGGAGGAAGGGGAGGTGGGGCATGACTCATGCGGAAACAGAGTCAAGGGAGGCCTGTGTAATTGCTGAAGGGAAGCAACCAGTAGAGAGAGGCGGGCAGCCAAGTGTTCTAGTTTGGCCAGGTCTTTCCTGGTTTGAGCACCCAAAGTCCCTCACCCTGGGAATCCTTAGTCCTGGGAAAATTGGGAAACTGGGAGAGTTGGTCAGATCCCTAGAGAAAGGTTACAGTATGGAAGAGGCGGGGAGGATGGGGGGGGGGTGGCCCTGGCAAAGACTGGCTGTAGGTGCAGAGAATGCTGTGGGCTGGCCTCTGCCATCCCTGTGAAGGGGCAGGTCTTCTGAGGGAGTAAAATGGAGAGGGCACAGGCAGTGAGGGAGGAGGAGGGGAGAGTTGCTGAGGAGTGCAGGGTGCAGCCGCCCCAAGGCTCTGGCTGTGTAGGGGACAGCCACCACCACGTGGTGGTTTGTGTCCAGCAGACTGCTGGCCCCCCAGAGAAGGCGGCCCCGTGTTTTCGCTGCACTGCCCATCCCTCCTCATAAGGCATCTCCTTTCTGTGTCTGCAGCCCCCACCCTGTGAAGCCCCTCAGTGCTGCCCCTGTGGAGGGCAGCCCAGACAGGAAGCAGCCTCGCTCCAGTCTGAGCACAGCTCTGAGCAGTGGGCTGGAGAAGCTCAAGACCGTCACATCGGGCAGCGTTCAGCCTGTGGCTCCAGCCCCCTACGTTGGCCAGACTGTGGACGCCAAGCGGCTGAAGGTGAGGCCCGGCAGGATGCCAGGGTGCGTCAGACCGGATGTGTGGTGCCATGGAGAGAGGTCTGGCGCCTGGAGGTCAGGAGCAGGGTGCTGGGCAGGGTGGAGCAAAGAGCGGGCCTGGTCCCCCACGCCAGAGCCCTGAAGCCAGTCAGGCTGTCTCTCGCACTGGAGACAGAGGCCGCTCCAGGGGCCTGTAGGAGTGAAACCCGGGTGTTGGTGGGTGGACAGGCAGGTAGGCCTGAGGCTGCCCTGCTCATTCTCATTCCTGGCCTCAGGACTCGGGTGTGCTGGACCAGTCGGCCAAGTACTACCACCTGACCCACGACGAGCTCATCGGCCTGCTCTTGCAGCGGGAGCGGGAGCTGAGCCAGCGGGACGAGCATGTGCAGGAGCTGGAGAGCTACATTGACCGGCTGCTGGTGCGGATCATGGAGACCTCACCCACACTGCTGCAGATCCCCCCTGGCCCCCCAAAGTAGCCTTCCTCACCCCTGCCCCCGGGAGGGTCAGCGTGGACCCACTGCCCAAACAGGGCTTGCGCTGCCCTCCTTCCCGCTGAACTCACTCTCACCTGGGCAGGCTGCTGTCTGTCCTCTGTTGTCACTCCTTGCTCCTCTTCCCTTCTGCCTCCGTGGGGCTGCTGGAAGGGGGACCCTTTGGACTCCCATTGGAGGCATCAGGTTCCATGTACAACTTGTGTGTTTTGGGGAGCCCTCAGTCGTTCCCACCTGCCTATTTCCATATCCCTTAGTTTTAGGGGCTCCAGGGAATTGGAGCAAAGAATTTAGTACTCGAGGGGGAGCAGGGGTGAGCTGCAATTTGATGTGGCATCTGGGACATACTTTATTACCCCACAACAATGGTCAGTCATTTTGTCCAAAGCTAAACCCTTGTCCTCCTCATTTGTCTTCAGCCCCTGGAGGGCTCCTAGCATTACTGGGGCTGGGGCTGTGGCAGGAACCAAGTTGCCCATTTTGGAGTTATGGGCAACAGGAGTCTCATGTCTGTTCCCTTGAGAGCAAGGAGCCTGTATGGTCTGGTCTCATCTCTGCTGTGTTCTGATTTTCGTGTGTTTCCAGCTGTTTGCAGAACGAGTGCCACATGGATGGATGGGGATGATGTGTGTTCTCCAGGCCCCCCGCCCTGCCCTCCTCTTCTGATCTTTCCATTGAGTGTCATGTGTGAATGTATGGAGAGCTGGGGCAAGTGTGGGGAGAGCACCTCCTCACCTGCCTCCAAGCTGTGGGCCCCTCCAGGCCTCAGGGCTTTGGGCTGCTTGTGTTTGGGGATCAAGCCTCCATCTTTGTTTTTGTTGCCTGTCCAGATGCCAAAACTCTGTGCTGCGGCAGGGTTTGCACTTTTGGAAACCAATTAAAATGTGCCTTTTGTGGGTGGGGTCAAGAGCCTCTGGATGCAGACCTCTCTCTCTCTGTTTGGTGTCCCCCTCCCTCCCTGTTGAGCACATGGGGCTGGATCTGTCAGAGCCCTGGACATGGGAGAGGAGGATGGTGAGATTCGCTGCACCCTGTGCCCCTCCCCCAGAGTTCAGTTAAGGGTCTGGCGAAGCTGCCACTGCTCCTTTAACTTTCCTGCCACCTTCTCTTCCTCCCTCAACCCCATTTGCGGAGGGTCCTGGGATAAAAACTACATTCTGGAAGTGGGAGGTCCCACTCTGCCCATACTTAGGAAAAAAGCCTTTGTTGCTCTCCTCTCCATCCACTGGCTGCTCTCCCAGCCTGTCCCTTCTGCCCCATGGCCTTGCCTGGCTTGGCTGCAGTGCACTTTGAAATGAAGTGTCTGTCTTTTGGCCCAGCCCTGGTTAGCTTGCAGAAAACATGGCCGGCTTCCCCTGGCATCTACAGGGAACCTTTAGTGGCTCGCGTGCCCTGATTTAGCAAAAGTTTTGGGGTAAGGAGGTACTGAAGGAGGATACTTTTGGCCCAGGGAGGAGGTGAGAGCTCGTCTGGAATTACCTCTTCTTCCTGAGAGAGCCTATGGGATCTTTCCGACAGCCTTGGAAGGACATGTGCTCTGTGGGTGATGTCTTCTGCCAGGATGAAGCAGAGGAGCCCCGACACATGGGGGAAAGCCCCTGTAATGTTATCTACCTTAACGATCACTCATCAAAGCTGAGGAAGTGTCCCCAGGTGTCCAGATCTTGGGTCATGGTTTTTTTGGGGGTCAGTGGGGGTTGGGTAGGTATCTCTTCTGGGGGAAGGGGAGCACTCCTCTACTATGTATTCTTCCGGGCTCTATTCATTACCAGCCCTGACCCTGATCTTCCACTCATCCTTGATTGTGGGCCTCCAAAATGCCCAGGGCAAGGATGTCTTCAGAAGAGCTTTGAGTTGAAGCCCAAGGTTCTTGTTGGATGTTTCTGCTCCTGGCCACGACTTGGAGAGTTGCAGGTGGGGTGGGCAGAGAGCAGGCACAGTTCTGCTTTGCTGTTTGTCTTCCTAGTTGTAACTCCTGTTTATAAAGAGCTTGTTCTTCATGTTTTGAGCACTTTATGAAGAATAAAAAGTTCATATACTGCAGGTGGCTCTATTGTGTTCCTGTTTTGACAAACGTATGAAGGAGGCTTCCTGGGGGAAAAGGCGGGTAATGGGGTTTTGGATGTCACTGCCCCCATCTTAACATCAGGGGCAGCAGCACAGCATTGACAGGTGGCATGGACTCGGTCTTTTCTTTGCCGAGATACCCACATTTATTAAGCACTGTGGGGGAATACAGAGGGTAAAAGACTTGATTCTTAATGTGAAACCACGTAGTCTAGTAGCAAATGATACAAATCCAAGATACAAATGGTTCTTCATAGCTAGCTAGAATCTCTCTCTAGCTTTAGGAATCGTCTGTTTCTTGTGGGTTTTGTTGGTGGATGAGGAACTGGCTGCTACAAATCATGCATTGTCCAGAAAGACATGAGCAGGCATGAGCCAATACTGCACCTCACTTTGAGACTAGGGAGACCCAAAGTGGGATTCCCTAGGATCAAAACTATTTCTACTTCCCTCTTGGGTAGCTTCCTTCCCTTCCTGCCAGCCTGACACACTGACCAGATAATTCATCTGGGAATCTTCTACTCCTTTCTGCACAAGTGTGTTTATTATCCTTGCTTGCATCCTGTTCTACGATATGCAGCACTCCTTCTTACCTAACGTCCTTGTAGTGCTTAATAAACATTACTGAACCCCACTCCCCACTCTCACTTCTCTTCCTGCCTGGGAATTAGGCTGAGGAGGATCTTCCTTAGTTGGGCAAAGGAAGTGGAAGCCGCCAGGGCTCTGAAGCTCCAACTATTTAATTCACACAGTCAATACATATTTGAGTCCCTGTTGGTAGTCCTCCCAAGCCTGGCACTGAGGACTCAGCAGTGAATCAAAAGGTCATACTTCCTGTCTCGTGGACCTAACTAACAGTGGGAACCACATAGGCAAAGCCGTAAATAATTAAAAGTGCGAGGGCTGCAAGGGAGAAGTGCTGGATACTAATAGGAGCATATAGCGGATTTTGTGGAAGTAGGGTGATGGATCGGGAAATGCGATGTTTAGGCTGAGGTCAGGAGAGCCAGAGTCAGGCAAAGACAAAAAAGTTAAGAGTTTTCTGGGTACAGAATGTTCAAGGGTCAGAGGTGGGAAGCACCCCAGCATGTTCCTGTACTCAGTGTCAGGATGGCTGGAGAGCACAAGGGGAGGGGCAGGGTGGCGGCAGAAGAAACTGCATGAAGACTCCGCAGTGCAAGTCTTTGCAGGAAGCCTTTCGAGATTAACCCGGAGCCTTTGCGCATCTGGTCCCGGGTCGGACCCGCGAGTAGGGCTCTTTCGGACTAGAGCTCCGGGAGCGACGCCCTCCGCAGCAAGTGAAACTTCTAGGGGCAGGTAACCAGCGAGGGGGAGCCCTGTGGCCCCCTATCGGGACCTTAGAGTCGTACACGCACGCTTTTCCCATATTGCCTAGCCCTTCAGAACTGGCAGCAGGAACGGAGATCGGGTTTGAGTCAGTTCAACTCTCCGCAGTCTAGGGTTGGCAAGCGCCGTGACTAGAAAAACTACACTCCCCACAATCCCTTGCGCCCCCGGCTCGCTGCGGTTGCTTATGGCCAATCGGGAGAAGCAGCTGTGGCGGGGGCCGAGGAGGGACATTTTAAAAGGGCCGGAGATTGCAGGCGTCAGTGGTCATGGCGGATACAGCGACTACAGCATCGGCGGCGGCGGCTAGTGCCGCTAACACCTCGACCGATGCACCTCCTTTCCAGCTGGGCAAACCTCGCTTCCAGCAGGTGAGGACGGAGCTATGGTCTGAAGGTCGGCGGGTGGCACAGGGAGGGCGGCACACTCCTCTCCAAAATCCCCTTTAGTCCTGGGGTCCTCCGACCCGCGGCCACTGGGGAGCCTGCAGCTACTGCCTCGGGGACCTCGACCACAGCCATCCCTTTCCCATTGGCGAGCAGAGTGGGCGAGGACTCCCACTTTGGCTCCCTATTGGCCGCCGGTGCCGTCACTCCTCGGTTGCCCGCTCCCTCCAGCCTTTCCCGCCCGAGGCGCTCTGTGATTGGCCACTGACAGTCGCGGCCAGGAATCCGGGCGCCCCGGGTCCGAGCGGCTTCTGCAGGGTCGCTTTGAGCTGTGCAGCCAGCCACTCGCGGCGGAAAGTTCGAGCCCGGCTCTGGATGACAAGTTGGCGTGGCGGAGATGCCTTCTAACTTTCCCTGGGTGGGGATGACGTTCTTTCCGAGATGCTGGCGGAGCCCCTGGGCAGTGTCTGACCCTGCGGTCATGCTGCCAGCCCTTGACCCCAAGCCAGGTCCGCTGTGCTCGATGGTTTAGGGCCACGGGCCGAGGGGTCCCCGCGACCTGGCGACCCCTTTCCCCTCCAATGGGGGATTCGCTGATGCGAGTCGGCCGGCTGGTGCCCTGCCGGGGATGGAAGGAGGACGTGCGGGGAGAGCCGGGTGCGGAGGAAACGCTGTGTCATCCCCCGGGGCCGCGGGCTGTTGGAAGAGTCCGCGTCCCTGGGAGCCCGCTTCAGCTCCTCCCCCGGAGCGACCTCCGAGGAAGGTCTCTGGGACCCGGGCCCTGGCGCCGCCGAGGGCTCGGCTCTTTGGACCCGGTCGGGCTCTTCGGAGCATGGTGACAGTGGCCTTTTTACCCGGGGACTCCCGACAGGGCGTGACTAACTCGTCCTCGGCCACGGAGATGGGGATCGAACCCATAGCCTGGACGTGCGACCAGTGCTGAAGGCTTGGAGGGGCCGTTCCCACGCTGCGGGCCGCCTCGTACCCTCGTTCCTCCACTGCCTCCAGCCAGCGCGGAGGAAGTGGACTTTGTTAGGAAAAGGGCAAAGAGGCTCGGCCGAAGTGAACTGGGTTTGCCTTGGGTGGGGGGCAGCGGAGGCGGACAGAAAGAAGTTTGCAGGAAGAAAGGAAATTGTACAAGGTCGGTGAGGTGGTGGATTTTTTGTGTGTGTTTTGTGGGTTTTTGTTTTGTTTTGTTTTGTTTTTTGGTGGTAGTGGTTGTGTGGGGGAGGGACTGGTTCCTGCAAAGTGGTGCACCGAGCTTCACTGATACTTAAGGAATTAAGCCCCTGAGCCTTCTGAAAACAATGCCCTCACTGTTTTAAAACAGGACTTTCATTCCTTAAAAAAAAAATTAAGCCATCTCAGCATGTAGGTGTCAGAGCAAGACTGGCATCTTCCTGCCAGCGTAGGGTGCTGTCTAGGAGGAGACTGTCAGGGGTGCCTCTCCCAGAACTTGAATGACCCTTCTTTTGGCTGGCCCCCTTTCCCAGCCCTCCACACACGTACCACTCATCCTTTAAGGATCAGCTAGGCCTCCTACTCTGGAAACACTTCCTCTCTTCCATATATTACCCCTGGTGGGACCAGGTCACTGACTCTTTCCTGACCCCCCTTTTTGGCCACCCCAAGTGGGATCCTCTTAGGTTAGCCTTTAGTGACAGTCTGTCTGTGTTGCTCTAATACTTGTTCTTCTCACCCCTTGTGTACATCTTTTGAGAGAAGGGGCTGGTCTTGCCCTCCTTTGTCTCTGTCTTACCCCGAGGTGGGGCTAGACACATGGTGATGTGCTGAAGAAAGACTTGTGGGTTGTCTTTTTCGGGGACCTGTTCTGGGACATTCAGTCACACAACACACAGTTATTGAGAACTTCCCAGTGGCTTTAATGACTGAGCCCTTTGCTGTGATCACCGCTGGAGCCATATATGCACATTTGAAATTACTCCAGTCATTGCTGGTATCTGTTTTTGGCACCGCTCTTGAGGGCAATAAAAGTGTTTGTTGTATTTGCTTTGGCAGCAGCCCTCCTCCAGCGTAGTGACTTGCATAAAGCATAGTACAAGTGATTGTCCATGTTAAGGAACTTCCCACCGTTGCCCATGCCCCCTCCTGCTCCTTCCACACCACTCCCTGCTGTATAAGCAGCCCAACCTGCAACCCAGTTGACTCCCAAGAGACCTGCGAGTCCCCTGCATACTTCCCTTTCCCTCACCCTCTAAACACAACCAGAGGCCCAGTGTTCTCGTCTCTTGAAACAGCTCTCAAATTCACCGGATTCCCTGCTGGAATCCTGGATCCAGCTGCCATTATCTATCTCCTGAGCCACTGTGGAAGCCTAACAGGTCTCCCTGCTTGCACTCTGGCCCCCTTCCAATCCCATCCTTCTTTCACTTGGCAGCCTCAACAACGCAGGTTGATCAGGTGACTCCCTCCCCTCCCCCCACCACACACTTAAACACTCTCCAGTGGCTTCCCCTCCTTCTGAAATAAAGACCTCCCTTTTGAAGAGGCCCCAAAAGCCCACATGGCCCACCCGTGCTGACTTCTTCTTCCTGAAATCAGACTCCCTCCTTCCCCCTCTCTCCTATCACACTGGCTGCTTTCAGCCACTTGAACTCTGAGTGGTTCATAATCCGGGGCCCAATTCCCAGAGCCCACGCCACGGACACCACCCTCAGTCCCCAACTAGTCTCATCGCTTTCTTCAAGACTGGGTGCAGGGAGTTCTCTTCTTACTCCCTAGAGTCGCCTCAGGACCCTTCTTTCCATCCTTCAAAGTTCTCTGTGCAGGAGGGCTGGGGAATAAAGGACACTGACCAGTGTCAGAGGGTGAAGAGAGATGGCTTTGGTCTGTGACCATCTTTCTTCCCATAAGATGATGATAACAGCCAAGCATCGTTCCAGGCTTTTGGCATATTGGCTTATTTAATTTTCACAACAGCTCCGTGAGACAGATAGGTGAGGAAGCTACCACACACACAGATTAACTCACTTCCCAGGCAGTCTGGCTCCAGAGTCCTTGTTTGTTGGTTTATTGTTAACATTTTTTTTTAGTGTTTATTTATTTTTGAAAGAAAGAGAGAGTAAGGGAGGGGCAGAGAGAGAGAGGGAGACAGAGGATCTGAAGCAGGTTCTGGGCTCTGAGCTGTCAGCGCAGAGCCCGATGTGAGGCTCAAACCCACTAACTGTGAGATCATGACCTGAACCGAAGTCAGAT